TCAGGCTGAAAAAAATTACCAGCTAAATCCAGCTAAAACCAGTTTGACCAGCCTGGTTTAAGCTGAATATAGCTGTTAGCTGGACTCCCAGCTTGGCTAGGCTGGTCAAGCTGGTTTTAGCTGGTCATCTCCCAGCCTGACCAGCTAAGACCAGGCTGGAAATGGCTGGAAACCAGCCTGGAAGTGGCCAAAACCCCTCTAAAACCAGCCTGGTCGACCAGCTAAAACCAGCCAACCAGCCTAGGCTGGTTTAAGCTGGATTTTTCAGCAGGGAAGTCATGGTTCATTTTTCTAAGGGAGCTCACAAAACCAGTAGCTTACACTTTGTAGTTCTACTCAGCTTTATGTCCTAAATTGTAAGTCGCTTTGGACAAAAGCGTCCACCAAATGGTTCAATTTAAATGGCTAAATACACCAATGCTAACTCACCCTACCGAAAAAAAAACAGCTTAAACCAGCCTAGGCCTGACCAGCTAAGACCAGGCTGAAAATGGCTGGAAACCAGCCTGGAAATGGCCAAAACCCCAGCTAAAACCAGCCAACCAGCCTAGGCTGGTTTAAGCTGGATTTTTCAGCAGGGATTTGAGCACTAAGTAACCTGCAGGTTTTCCACCGTACCTCTGTTTCTTGGAAAATATGGTTTGTACGAGCTACTGTTTGTGTGCCCTGTTGAAAAACCAAGCTTAAACCAGCCTAGGCTGGTTGGCTGGTTTTAGCTGGGGAACCAGGCTTGTTTTGGAGGGGTTTTAGCCACTTTCAGGCTGGTTTCCCGGCATTTTCAGGCCTGTCTTTGCTGGTCAGGCTGGAAAATGACCAGCCAAATCCAGCTAAAACCAGCTTGACCAGCCTGGTTTAAGCTGGACATAGCTGGTTTGGGCTGGTCTCCCAGCTTGGCTTGGCTGGTCAAGCTGGTTTTTGCTGGTCATCTCCCAGCCTGACCAGCTAACACCAGGCTGGAAATGTCGGGAAACCAGCCTGGAAGTGGCCAAAACCCCTCAAAAACCAGCCTGGTCGACCAGTTAAAACCAGCCAACCAGCCTAGGCTGGTTTAAGCTTGGTTTTTCAACAGGGCACACAAACAGTAGCTCGTACAAACCTTATTTTCTTAGAAACAGAGGTACAGTGGGAAACCTGCAGGTCACTTAGTGCTCAAATGTTATTCTTCTCTGAAAAGTTGCTGTCGAAGCTCGTAATTTTTTGCACTGCTAAATGACTGATGTGGTCTTTCAGGTTGAGCTAGTTCAGGAGCCTTGATAAAAACCCATTCTGGGAATCACCAACCAAAACACAATCCTCTGTCTTATCATTAGCAAATAATTAGACCATCATAAAGGCAAACCTAAACAAACAAACTTCTGTCCACTGATATCCTGTTCAATCCGTCGTGTTTACCTTTCTGTTCACAAGCATATGGTGGTCAATAGTCTATAAAACTACCCCTGTGTGTGTCATCTGCATCCTTGAGGTTTCAAAGAGATGCAAAACACACCATCTGCCAGCATCCAAAACCCCATCAGTGCACAGCTCATTTATTATTCACAGAACCGAGAGGATGACACAGCAGTCCTGCAGGCCTCATAAATGTTCACATTTCAGTGCAATTTCCTCCAACACCTCACACACACACTACATCTATAGTATCAGGAGATTTCCTTCAGGAGGAAGAGTGTGTTTACCAGCTAGAAAATCACTATGGGAATCAACTCAAAGGCATTGTTCAGCCAAAAATGGAAATCATTTACTCAATATGTGCATGATTAAATGTTGCTAAAATGAACATGTAAAGGGGATAGTTCACACCAAAAAATGAAAATGTACTCACTATTTACTCAACATCAAGGGGTTTCAAAACTTTGAGTATTAAAGAAAGCTTAATACTGTAATCCATTGATATCCATAGTAAGAAAACAAATATGGAGGTCAATCTAATTTAGTGTGTATTTATATAGTGCATTTATTGCAACCCGGGCTCATTGTGGAAACGTAGCACCGCGGACGTTTCTGGAGACCGCGAAATACATCCTGAGAGGTACGTATTTGTGCAGTTTTTGCGAATTCGCGTGAGGCCGCTGTGCCGCGCTTTTTCGCGACTCAAACGCCTCTCAGGAGCGCACGCCGTTCACGCCCGCGCTGTTCTCGCGCAAAAAGCCGGCGAAGGCCGCTGTCGCACGACCGTCTGTCCGGCTGACCGACTGGCTGTATCAGGCCCGTGCAGAGACCGTCCAAAGGGCATATGCAGGATACATTTTTTGAAGAGCGGAGGGGTGTTGGGGGGGGTTTGTTGTTGCGCGTGTACTAAAGAGCGGTGTTGTCAGGCGCGTTCTGATCCGCTGTGTTGTCGTGCGTACTCAAGAGCTGTGTTGTCGCGCGCCTACTGAAGGGCAGGACCGAGGGTGTGCCGCGTCGCGGGGGCACTTTTGATCATTTTGGAAGGGCACTTTCTATCCAAGACTAAAAAGAGCATGTGCACTGCACATGTTGAGCCCTATGTGTGCACATGCCTGGGCCGGATGACTGGACGATCGACTGACCCAGCCGCCCTCCTCCTTGCCCCCTAATCCCAAGCGACGAATTACAAAAGCCGTCCAGAAAGGAAAAGCAAAAGCCCTCGTCCGATTTTGACAGAGTTTCCGGATTTCGCCGCATTCTCATCACAAACTCGTTTGCTTTTAATTCTTTGGATTCTGTTTTTCATCTTACCTGATTTCTGGAACTGCTCTTCCCCAAACCCGGTCATTGACGCGGGTGGCTCCTCCTCCCTCGGGCCTCCGCTTCACCGAATGCAGCCGTACGTACCTCCAGCCAAGTAAATCGCGGTCTCCAGAAATGTCTGCAGGGCTACATTTTCAGATTGAGCTTGGGTTGATTTATTGTGTATGGCCATACACCCAAAGCGCTTAACAATCATGAGTTGTCTTTTAAACTCATAAAGGTTTGAAACAAGTGAAGAGTGAATAAATGCCCTATTGAAAAAAAACAGCTTAAACCAGCCTAGGTTGGCCTGGTCTTAGCTGGAAAGACTGGAAAATGACCAGCCTAAACAAGCTAAAACCAGCTTGACCAGCCTGGTTTAAGCTGGACATAGTTGGGCTCACAGCCTGGCTAGGCTGGTCAAGTTGATTTTAGCTGTTCATCTCCCAGCTAAGACCAGGCTAGAAATGGCTGGAAACCAGTCTGGAATGGCCAAAACCCCTCTAAAACCAGCCTGGTTGACCAGCTAAAACCAGCCAACCAGCCTAGGCTGGTTTAAGCTGGATTTTTCAGCAGGGATTTGAGCACTAAGTAACCTGCAGGTTTTCCACCGTACCTCTGTTTCTTGGAAAATATGGTTTGTACGAGCTACTGTTTGTGTGCCCTGTTGAAAAACCAAGCTTAAACCAGCCTAGGCTGGTTGGCTGGTTTTAGCTGGGGTTTTGGCCATTTCCAGGCTGGTTTCCAGCCATTTTCAGCCTGGTCTTAGCTGGTCAGGCCTAGGCTGGTTTAAGCTGTTTTTTTTTCGGTAGGGTGAGTTAGCATTGGTGTATTTAGCCATTTAAATTGAACCATTTGGTGGACGCTTTTGTCCAAAGCGACTTACAATTTAGGACATAAAGCTGAGTAGAACTACAAAGTGTAAGCTACTGGTTTTGTGAGCTCCCTTAGAAAAATGAACCATGACTTCCCTGCTGAAAAATCCAGCTTAAATCAGCCTAGGCTGGTTGGCTGGTTTTAGCTGGTCGACCAGGCTGGTTTTTGAGGGGTTTTGGCCACTTCCAGGCTGGTTTCCAGCCATTTCCAGCCTGGTCTTAGCTGGTCAGGCTGGGAGATGACCAGCTAAAACCAGCTTGACCAGCCTAGCCAAGCTGGGAGTCCAGCCAAAACCAGCTATGTCCAGCTTAAACCAGGCTGGTCAAGCTGGTTTTAGCTGGATTTGACGGGTCATTTTCCAGCCTGATCAGCT